AAGGGAAACCCTTTTTAAAAAAAACAAAAAAAAAAAAAAAAAAAAAAAAACCCCAAAAAAACAAAAACAAAAAACTACCTTTATCAAGTACTGATTCTGTGCCAGGTACTTTTTAAACACTTTACATGAACTATTTAAATACTCAGAATAATCCTGTGAGATTAGTACTATTATCACCTCCATCGTTTAGAGAAGGAGACTAAGATTCAAGATGAAGCAGTTTGCTCAAGATCACATAGCTAGTGCCTGTATTGGAGTTCAAGTTCAAGTAACCTGACTGTAGAGCTCTGACTCAAAATGGCATGGGGTGGGGAACAACCAAACTTTTTGTGTTTTCTCTAAACTGTCTACCTGCCATTTGAATTTATAGGCAGCTTAGTCTGTGCCAGGGAGACTTCTGCCCTTGGGTTCTAGGGTCAGTGTCTCTGCTGAGGGGGTCCTGTGATATTTGGTGTCTATAGTGGGGGCCCTGTGATAGCTGCACTGACTTTACCTGGCAGAGACTGGACAGGCCTCCCTTCCTCTCCCCAGAAGCAAGCTGCCCTGCTGGATAGCCCTGTGCTGCCTGGCTCTGGGGAATTCCACTCATTTTGTTCCTGCCTCTGCTTGGGAAAGCCAGGTTCCTTCTTCTTGGAAGTAAGCCTTGGGCAGGAAAGGTCTAGGGTACTGTTCTGTGGAGCTCTGCCCCCTCCTTCCCCGCCCACCTCTGGATGCCAGGCCTGGAGCTTTTGAGTATGTGCTTATCTCTATGGGCACTCCCAGCCCAGCTCATCCTTCCAGGTAAGGTATGTGGTTTCCTTCTGGGAGATTTCCAGAGTGTGCTTGGCTTTGGCCATCCCTAGGCAATACTCCCGAGCTGTTCTCTGACCTTTATGTTTCTTAGAACTGCAGTTGAGCTTTCTGCAAATTGCTGCTTTCTAGAGTTTTGGTTCTTTTCTGTGCTGGAGCTCTCTGTTGAGCTTCTAGAGTATCTGGAGACCACCAAAGTCTGAGTGAGCCCCAGCAGACTCTTTTCCTCCCTCTGCCTTCTCTTCCTATGTTTGTACTACCTTCAGCCCCCACTCTTGTTCCTGCTGCTCTTGTTGCTTTAGGAGCTAGCTCAAGTATCCTAGAAACAAGAAGAGAAACAAAACTCAAAAATTCTCCTAGAGGCCTAACAGCAGATATCAAACCAAAACAAAGTTTTCAGAGAGGAAATGAAACAGCATAGGGAAAGGGGTAGGCATATGTCAGGCAGAGGTAGGTTGGGACTCCAGCTAAGTATGGAGTCTCTGGCCAGGACCCTTCAGTTTTAGTAGCTTCTGCTTCTCTTCTCCAGAACTCTCCTTTTGCTATTGTTTTCCCCACCAGAAGCCCAGCCTTCACCTGTCTTGTTTTAAGCCCCCTGTATTACTTTCCTCTTTGCTATGACAGAGATACCCTCAAACTGGATAACTTAAAGATACCCTCAAACTGGAAGCCAGAATAAACCTTTCCTTGCTTCCTGAAGGCATGGCAGTAGGAATATAGGACAGCCAGTCACATTGCACCTGTGGTAAAAAAGCAGAGAGATTCGAACCCGGATCTTCTGCAAGAACAACCAGTGTTCTTAACCGCTGAGCCATCTCTCCAGGTTTGAATCCCAGCACCCACATGGCCGCTAACAACTATTCATAACTCCAATCCCAGGGGATCTGACAGCCTCTTTTGACCCCCGCGGGCATTGTACGACATGGGTGCACTTACCTACATGCAGGCAATACATGCATACACGTAAAATAAAAATAATAAATAAAATTTTAAAATTAAAAAAAAAAGCAGAGAGAAATGGATGCTAGTGCTTAACTTGCTTTCCCCTTTTATTCATTTGGCCCCCAGCCCATGGAATGGTACCACCCACATTAGGGTGGGTCTTACCACCTAAGTTAACCCAGTTTAGAAGCTCCCTCACAGATATGCCTAGTGCTTTGTCACTATATGATTCTACGTTCTGTCAACTTAACAATCAACATTAATCACCACACACTCCTACTCTGGGATGCTAAAACAGTCTTCATAAGGGACCTGGTTTTGTTGAGCCCTATTAGTTGAGCTAGGTTTTTTTTTTTTTTGTTTTGTTTTTCCTAGCTGGCTTCCTAGCCCCTGTTTCTCTTTGGAGTTGATTGGCCTTGGCTCCCATTGCCAGTCTAACCTAATGAGTGCTCTGAACAGAGCTGCTTTGTTTATTTGTTTGTTTCTTTTGAGACTCCCTGCAGCCACAGCTCGCCTGGTCTCACAGAGATCCACCTGCCTCTGCCTCCTGAGTATTAGGATTAAAGATATACATCACTATGCCTGGCCAGAGCTGCTTTTTGACCACTAGGGTAGGAAGTACAAAGAGGCTAAGAGGAGGTATCTTTGTTGTTTCAGTGGAGAGAAGAGGGAACCTCTCCTTTTCTGTTGGAATTCATGATGAGATCCCAGCATCATTGTACTGAACGGAGTGAGAAACCATGGAATCTCCTCCTGAACTCTATTCTAGAAACAAGCTGTGTTGAAAAACATAGGCCTTCTGAGGCAAGTCCTGTGTAGGTATTTGCCAGTGGAGAGACCAGATGGGCCTGGGAGGAAAATCCTTGGACTTGGTACCTGGTGAAATCATATGAAGGGGACACATATACATCAGTGTCCTCTGTGCTTTTCCTTCTGACTTTCTTTATATTACTCACTTCAAACCAGGACTCTTAGTTCTCCCCACAAGTTTGTTCATTGAATCCTTCATTAATGTGGTCAGCAGGTATTTGTTAAAAACCTGCTCTAGAATGACACCAGGGATATAGCAGTGAACAAGAGAGACAGGGTCTCTCACGACTGGTTTTTGTGGAGTTTAGAATCAAGAAAGGTGATCAGACAATAGCATGTAAACAAGTAAATGGACAAGGTAATATCAAAGAACGATAAGTGTTCTGAAAAATTAGGGTGACGGAAAAGACAGTAACTGTCACTTTTGTTGCCGTAATAAAATACTTGGCAAAAGATTGGGTAGTCAGGGGCATGGAGAGATAACTAAGTGGTTAAGAGCCCTTGCTGCTCTTGCATAGGACCTTGGTTCCCAGCATCTATATGGCAACTCGCAACCATCTGTAACTCCAGTTTCAGAGGATCCAAGACCCTCTCCTGGCCTCCACATACACCAGACACATACATGGTACACATACATATATGCAAATATTCATATGTATAAAATAAAAATCTTTAAAAAAATATTGGCACAGACCAACTAACCAGAAGTCAGCTATGCTCTCCATGCCTTAGTTTCCTCATCTGTAAAGCAGAGTAACACACCAGCTCATCTGTCCTTATGAAAATAAATATGAGACAGCATTCAAGTTCTTTGATAACTGGAGTGATATCAATATTAATCACCAGAATAAATGATGAAATAAGCAATCAAATCAGAAACAAAAAAGATTGGTGGTCATCAGGGCTCAGTGGGGGTTGACATTAGAACTGATAGCAGCATGACAAGAAGGAAGTAGCATGTGAGAGTGTTGGGGAAAGACTATGTTTGGAGTCCTCTGTGCAGAGAAGAATATCCTGCAATAACTACTGCTGGTCATATAATTTGTGGAGTTATTAGCAGTCAGTTTTTTTTTTCATGTTTTTCTGATCCATTTTACAACTAGGTTTTCAAATTGTTTTTGAGGCGGGCTTTGTAAAGTGTCACAGAAACAAATATCAATGGGTCTCATGGCCTAACTCAAGGGTTATTTTTTTG